TGTGAGGACTATTTTATGTTATGTATTTGCGTGATGGTTCATGAGAGAACTGTTCAGGTGATTTTTCTTGTCGCATGATTTTGAAGACAGTCTTCTGGTTCTTCTTGTGTGCGCTATTTTGGGAGTTTTGGAGGGTGGCCATGTCGGAAGTGGGGGGGTGCTGGCTTGGCAGAGAGGGTAGACTGCTATATATACTACATTATATATTACAATGTATATAAAAAATGAAGTGTTGAAGAAAGAAAGTGCTTGATATACAAAGGAGATGTTGTTTCATCAATCAATGTGTGTTTCATCAGAATCAATGTGTTGGTTATCAAATCAATGTTGTTTGTTTCATCAAATCAATGTGTTTAATCCGAGATTACCTGTTAAAAGATTCTATTCTGCAAAGTAACAAATTGAAAGAAAGTTAGAGAGCAAAGTGACGAGGGAAATCAGGTGGTTTCTCTCCAGCTATCAGAAGTATGATTAATAAGACTAGTATTCTACTTCTAGTTAAGCTATCTAAATAAATGAAGGCCCGGGTGGCGCGCAGTTAGGGCGTCTGGTGGGCAATCAACCACTGAATTACCTTCGGGCAGGGGCCATTCGATACTGCGACTAAAGCGAACATTTCCCCAAGTGGGTTCGCAAACGTTTCTTTCGCAAGCTAACTCTAGATCAATTTTTGGGAGTGGAGGCAGATCGGAAGGGCGTCTGGCGGATACACCCACACTGAATTATTCTGGCAGTGGCATTACGATAGCTGAGGCTATCCGGACATTTTCTAATGCGGCTGCCAGAGTTTTCCTTTCCACGATCTAAAGCTCAATTTTGGGAGTAACGGGTTTTCTAGCTCTGAGCGGACATGCGCCCACCACTAAAAATTCTGGCAGTGTCAATTCCTGATACCTAGGGGACCATGAGAACATTTCAATAGGTTTACATGAGGGTTTACTCTTCCAGCGAATCTAGGCTCAAATTTTGGGGGCTTTCAAATGACCCACTGACCACACCACATCGCGTTGCCCGGCAGACTTACATTTCTTTATATGGGGTAATTGATACGCGAATCATTGCTTATGCATGAAAATTGGTTTTCCGTTCAGCTAGGCTGGACCCTGGTGCTACCCGGGGTCTAGTTCTCTAAATGGAAGTTTCCGTATCTGCGGTTTATGTATTTGAATAAATTTTTTTTTTTGGCCAATTAGCTACTATTGTGTTACGTTATCTCTCTCTTTCTCGATCTCTCTCTCCTCTCGTCTCTCTCTCTCTCTTATATATATATATATATATATATATATATATATATATATCTATATATATGTG